TCTTCGGCGGCGCCTGGCCCAGCCTCTGGCCTGGAGGGGCCGGGCTAGGACAGTAGGCTCTCACTGGGTTCCTAATGGGTCCGGACATTTGTGGGAAGTTCTCTCCGGAGCAAAGTCTCTGGACTCCCATGAGGCCCTGGGTAGTGGGTTGCCCACAAGTCCCGAGGAGACCAACTGAAGTGACTGGGAGACTGGCGCGAAATTGGTGATAGGTTTGCGTGACGGTGCATGTGTGAGTGTCTGAGCGTGTGTGTTTTAAATGTGACCGTGTGTTTCTGAGTGTGTCATACCCTCTGTAGAAGCACCAGGCTTCTTTAGCAATAAAATGACCAAGAATCCACAAAATATTCTTGTTTGGCAAAGTTTTAAAAATGTTATAATCTCATTTCGAGAAGTGTGTTTTAACTTGTCCTCCAAACCGATACCCACCCCCGCCCCCCTTTGTTCTTTTAAATCTTTCTTCCTTGAAATCTGGCATCAGAATCAGGTTAAATCCTTGAACCAAACAAATCTCTTAAATCAGCAGGGGAGCAGAGAGGGTGAAGATGTGCAGTTAAGGAAATAAAAAAAAAGATAAAAGCATTGGATTACAATTCCCCCTTTTTTAACAGAAAGGGGGGGGGTACCTCACATTGTAAGAAAAGGAACGAGAGTGAAATTAAATCCACCTGGAAATCAGAAGAGCGGGCGCCCTCCCTAAATGCAGCCTGCGCAAGTCAGACCCATCACTTTGTGTAAATGTGTTGAGAACCGTGGGGGTCTGCACATATTTCCCATCAGCAGCAGGACCTTAGTCCCACTTGTAAAGAACACGGATGCTTCGCTTCCTCGGCCTGATTGGAGCGGGTGGGTGCGGGCGGGGGCGGGGGCTGGGGCTTTCAGTGCTAATGAGCTTCCTTGTTCCTTCCGCGGTGGCACTCCGACGCCGTCCTGGCATGACCAGGGCATGTTTCTATGGGTAGTGACAACTTAGGAACAGCTTTCATGGTGCACAGGAAGCTGGTGCTTTAAGGGGGCAAAACTGCTTTCACTTGAAAGGGGGTCAATGAAAGCAAGTATTTTTCCTCTTTTAGCCTACATTTGCCAAACCTACTAGGCCTCATCTCAAAAAAAAAAAAGAAAAGAAAAAGTCAACCTAAGAAAAAGAATAAAGCCCTTGTTCACAGCGGGATGGCCAAAGCGAAGTTTCTCCTGAGCTTCCTCAAAGCCCAAGACCGGTGGTCAAGAGTGGACGCTGCCAGCTTTAGAGCCTTGATCCGGCTGGGGGGTTCCGCGATCCGCAGACCCTGCAGACCGAGGCATTGCCGTGAGCACAGCGCCTCCTGTCGTGGGGAGGGAGCGCTGAATCCTTCCGATGGCGCCCCTAGCAAGCTTCTCCC